AAGGTACGTGCCCTTGACCGGAATCGAACCTGGGACCTTTCAGTCCGTAGGCCGACGCTCTATCCACTGAGCCAAACCGGTTAGCTGCATTGCTTTTAGACGGGGGGGCTGCTTTCGCTGCTCTGACTCACTCACCGGGCCTCTTTCTTCCTAAGTCTGTTTAACCACTGGGGTGAATACATATCCTCAGCGGTACCCTCAATGGTACCGTCACACTCAGCCCCTCAGCTGCAGCCTCGGAAATCTCCCTCAGTCATGTCTTGTAGTTCCAGGGTGCCCCATTCCCTTATTATGCGGAGACATCTTGTCTGAGAACTACTGTACCCCCAAAGTCACCTTCCTCCTTCTCCCCTCGATGCCAGTACAACACCGGGGCACGTACCCTGGAAAGGAACGGCAAGTTGATTTCACTCAAGTGCCCCCTAAAGCTAGTATTTATAGTCACTTTCACCAGATAAACAGAAGCTTTTCCTACAAAAAGAAAAGCTACTCTGGAGGCCAAGTATTTAACTAAAATAGAAATCTTACCTAGATTTGGATTACCAAGAAGCTGACAGAATTACAACCGACCCTCTTTTATAACCACAATTACACACAACTGGCTCAAACTTTAAAAATCAACTATCGTGCCGTAACCGGTTTGGCTCAGTGGATAGAGCGTCGGCCTGCGGACTGAAGGGTCCCGGGTTCGATTCCGGCCAAGGGCACATGCTGGGTTGTGGGCTCGACCCCCAGTGCAGGGCGTGCGGGAGGCAGCCAATCAATGATTCTCTCTCATCATTGATGTTTCTAACTCTCTATCCCTCTCCCTTCCTCTCTGAAATCAATAGAAATATATTAAAAAAAAAAATTAACTATTGCCCCAGTTGGTTTGGCTCAGTGGATAGAGTGTCCGCCTGCAGACTGAAGGGTCCCTGGTTCAATTCCCATCAAGGGCACAGGCCCCAGTTGCAGGCTCCATCCCCAGTGGGGGGAATGCAGGAGGCAGCTGATCAATGTTTCTAACTCTCTATCCCTCTCCCTTCCTCTCTGTAAAAAATCAATAAAATATATATATTAAAAAAAAAATCTAGAGGTGTAGCCCACCCTTCAATTCCCGGTCAGGGCACATGCCCGGGTTGCAGGCTTCATCCCAGTGTGGGGTGTGCAGGAGGCAGGCAGTGATTCTCTCTCATCATGGATGTTTCTATCTCTCTCCCTCCCCCATCCTCTCTGAAATAAAAAATGTATTTAAAAAATAAACTTTCCCATCCTGCGTGGCTCAGTGGCTGAGCGTGAACCTGTGAACCAGGAGGTCACCTGTTCGATTCACGGTCAGGGCACATGCTCGGGTTGCGGGCTGGATCCCCAGTGTGGGGCGTGCAGGAGGCAGCCGATCAGTGATTCTCTCATCATTGATGTTTCTCTCCCTCTCCCTTCCTCTCTGAAATCAATAAAAATATATTAAAACGAAACAAAGAAACACCCGAAAAGCTCATGGATATTCTGTCGACCCTCCCCTAAGGTTCTCACCTGCAGGAAAAATAAAAGGGTCTCAGGACAAAGACTCAGAGCAACCTTCCACTTAACGGTGTGGACTTTCCTATAACATTTCTAGAGCAACAAAGCAGAGCACCGCCTAGGCCAGGGGTTGGCAAACTTTTTGACTCGAGGGCCACAATGGGTTCTTAAACTGGACCGGAGGGCCGGAACAAAAGCATGGATGGAGTGTTTGTGTGAACTAATATAAATTCAAAGTAAACATCATTAAAAAAAAGGGTACGGT